TTTTATTCAACTTTTTGTTAGCTTTTTGTCCCTTATGGATGAGGATAGTTTTAGAATATAGAAAATTGTCTCTTGTTCGAAGGTTTTTTTCCAACTGGCTGTAGAAGGAAGCGCACCTCACCGTCATTGTGTTACGGTGGATACTACTGATGAGGAATGCGAGTACTATGTGGTTTTCTCGTAACTCCACCTCGCGCCTAATGAAGAGTGCACCCCCATGTGGTTTATTACGGAACCTGCTTCGCAACGTTCGCTTACAATTGAGCGACAGTCAATGAGTATTCACCAAATTTCAAGAAGACGCGTAAGAATATTCGGTTTCTGAAAACAAGGTGCGTATGAGATATTTACTTTCCTGTCCAATAGTTTATAGCCGCTTGTTTGGTGTTTCCCAATGAGCAACTGCGCGCCGGGGGGCTTCCTTCCTTACGATGGTACTAATGAGCGCATTTTGCAAGCAGCAAGGTTCTTACCTGGGCGGTGTCCGGTGTAGACTCAGTGTTGCAAACGGATACATCTGAGAAGTTAAGAAACCAGGTAGTCGCCCTGAATTGGAAACACAAGTTGTGGGACTTTGCCTTAGTTCTCAAAATCGTTTTACGAGAGACGCACGTAGCCTTTCTACCACGCTTCTTTCTGCAAACACAAGTTCATATATGTACACTTTTTGTTGCGTGGGCGAAACCCTCGTTTTGGGAACACTACGGAGCATATCCAGTGATATTACGCTACACCACTTACATGTGGCTGCGTGAGTTGTAAACACAAACAAATTCGAAACCAACGGAGCGTAGGTGTTGTTGACCACAGTCTACTTAACGCCTTCTTATTACTGTGCACCCCGGTCTGGATAGCCGATTGATCGTCTGGTGCGCTTGGCCAAACCAGAAAAAGTCAATGAACGTGCGAGCCAGCTGATCTATTGATCACTGTCGCGTACAAGCGGGTCAAAAAAGTGATATCAAGAATACAACTCATGTGTCAAGGCCGAGTGAAGAACAACCAATGAAATCGGTCTCAACGAAAAACGCTTGTTCGATTGGCAGTTATGTGGTCCGGTCGCGTTCGGAGCTGGTTCTCCTAACAGTGAACCAATTGTTGGTCTCGCCCTATTAAAACACGTTTTCTTTATAAGGAAGCTTCACCCAGAAAACATTTTCGAAGGTGTATGTTTTTGTTAACTCATTTTCCCCAATCTAAAAGGGAGTGGTTTGCCTCTGTAGAGTAACACTCAGGCATAAACGAACTAAACATCGATGACAGGTCAACAGTATGTTCGAAAACGTAGGTTTAAACAGAAATGTTCACCATGGAGATATTTCTTTTCATTTTGAAGACAAAGAACCTGTAGGAGTTCACCAAGCAAAATGGTATTACGCCCAGTTTGAAGAGTTGCCTAACCCGGTGATCAAGGAGATTTCTTGAGTAAATAGTAATCCCACATACGGCCAAAAATGCGTTTCTATTGGATCTGTTTGATCTCAGCTACATGGCAGCAAAGCTCAGATGGTGCTGCACGACAGCGCCCAAAGAGGATACTATGCAGAGACTAGAAACGGCTTGGAAACAATACGATCTATAGAGTAAAAGTGCAAAATATACATTGCAAAGAGTAGCACACAGTAAACGCTCTTGCTGGATGGGCAAGAACTTTTTAGGATCTCACACCCCTTCTGCATCCGGTGAAAGAAACGTTCCGTATTCACAGCGGACACCAGAGTCTGATGAGTCGGTCGGAGTGTGCTTTGAAAAGGCAGATCTTTCAACTCTAACAGCATTGTTGCTTCAGGAATCAAACGCGCTTTCGCACGGAAAAGTTGGCCGTCCATTCCAAAATTAGGACAAATCATAACTAATTCATAATTCACCGGATATCCTCTAATGCCCCTGTCTTATTTTCTTGTGCTTTCGTGATACGTGTTGAAACCCTGTCAAAGCTAAGTCCAGTCATATCCATATGAGCTTTTATGTGGGAAACTTGAACTTTTCCCTTGAGAGGTAGCACTGCTAATGATATATTTTTCCCGAAATCCGATTAGTTTAAACAAACCATGGCGAGTTATTCAAAATTGACACACTGAAATGAAAAAAAGCACGGCGATTCAAAACTACTTTTTTGATAGGCAAAGTTCATATATTAGCGATATACACTCCATTTGCAAACTAATTTGGTTTTTCAAGAGGC